CTGGGTACGAGTTTCTGCTGTGCCCTTGATGGGCTCACTGGTGGCTCTGAGTAGCTGGAGTCACCTCTCTGACAGGGCCCTATCCTGCATTCCTGTTCGGAGCCATGGAGGGTGGTGGGGAGCAGCACCTGGGTCTTGGATCCTGGGGGAGCTTGGGCAGCAGGGGCTGCGGGTCCAGCGGTGCCTCTCTGTTGCCTCCCAGGCCCGGGCACCACCTCTCTGGTCAGTACCGGGAGGAGCAGATTTCCCTGCTGTCCTAGGCTGTCCAAAGCAGCAGCTGCCCCAAGCTGTCGGGGCAGTGAGGCCCTGCGGGGACCTGGAAGGCGTTCAGGCCGCGCTGCAGGTATGGCTGGTGGCTGTGGCCCTGCTCCAGCCTGATGACCTCTGCAGAGAGAGCTGCCCTTGCTCCCCTCTGGCCACAATTCTTCCCCAGCCAGTGGGGGCACAAGGGGCCTGGGGTCCCTGCAGGACACCAGGTGCCCCCCATACCCAGTCCCTGCTGGCCACCCAGGGCCCAGGTGCCCCATGCTGACCTTCTCCCTGCCTGGGACTCTGAGGAGACTCCTAGCTGCCTGGCACCCGGGATCATGGCCCCCAACAGTTGATTTCCCCCAGGAGACTCAGTTTCCCCCTCTCTGAACTGGGCTTCACAGCCCTGTTTGGATGAGGAGAGGTCTATAAAATGCCTGGTGCAAAACAGGCTCTTTTTCTTTTTTTTGTCTTTTGGAGACAGGGTCTCACTGTGAGCTCAGGCTGGCCTTGGACTCACCTAGTAGCCCAGGCCGGTCTCAGACTTGTGGCAATCCTCCTGCCTCAGCCTCCTGAGTGCTAGGATGACAGGCATGTGCCATCACGCCTGGTTTAAAACAGGCCTTAATGATGTCATTTCCCTTCTCCTGTCCCTGTGCTGTGCTGCTTTCCTGAATGTTGTCCTGGTTACCCCCAGTTAGGAGAGGACCCCAACATCTTCCTAGGGAAGCCCCAAAGACAGGGCAATTCCTGCCACCTTTGGTCACAGTGACCTGGAGTGAGGCTGAGGCTGGGCCGCTCTGCCTGGGGCGGGGAGCGTGGAGGAGATGGGGACCCTGGCAGGGGAGACGCTGAGCCCAGCTCCCCCACCACCTGCACAGGATTTTGGCCAAGCCCTCAACCTCTGAGCTGAGCACTCTAATCCAGCTAATTCCTCTCTCCTGGGAGGTGAGAGGCTCACGCCTCCCTCCCTGTCCCTGGTGCTGCCCTTGGCACCGGACAATGGCTCAGCCATTGTTGCTTTTATGCTCATGACCAGTGATTGGCGGTGCAGTCAGCAAACTCAGCAGCCACAAGCCTGTGTCCCCCAGCGGGGACCTGGGGAAACAGCTGGTGGCCTGGGGAGAGGCCGAGACTTCGGGCTCCTATTGGCCCGACCTCTGAGGACACCTAGTGCTTTGCCCTTGGCTTGGGCCACTGAGTCTGAGCTGGACAGGCGTCCAGGGGTGGAGGCCCAGGTGCTGTCCCAGAGCCTCTGTTTCTTCCTCAGCCAGGCAGCCTCCCTCTGGGGTGCCCCTGCATTCCTAGGGCTTGGGCATTGAGAAAGGGTCACCCAGCCAGGGCTCTGGGCCACGCGGATGGAGCTCAGCATGTGGCTGGTGCTCAGGGCATCGGTGACCAGTGTCCACCTTTGGGAGCTGCCACCCTGCTGGGAGAAGAAAGCTGGTGAGCAGGCAGCCACTGTCACATCCCCCTCCTCCAGGAAGGCGTCCAGAATTACCTCCCTGCCTCCTAGGGCCCTGGGGCACCCGGGCCATCGCCGTGAGGCCATCTGGAGGGGTGGGGCTGCAGCCAGAGGCTAGCAGCTCTAGGTGACAGTGGACATTAGACCTGAGGTGGCAGCAGGCATGTGCAGGCAGAAGTGGATCTGAGGAGGAAGGGTGGGGGCGGGGAGGGCCTGGGGTAGAGGCCAGCAGAGTCCGGGACAGGAGGTGTCCATTTGCAGAAGAGCAGAAGCGGCTTTTACGGGCTGTGCCAGGCAGGGTGCAGGGCACCCATCGTGGCTCAGTCCTGGCTTCATGGCTCTGGAGGACCTGGCAGGGCTGGGGGACATTTCAGCCACTCAGCTGCTGCAGCTCTTCAGGGACCTGGGGCAGCAGCTTTGGACAGTGAGAGTCCAGACGTGGCCAGACATTGCCCACGGGACACTCTGGTGCCCAAAGTGTATAAACAGAGTGAAAGAAAAGATGGGTAGGGCCGGGGGTAGGGCGCACGCCTGTCATCCCAGCACTCAGGAGGCTGAGGCAGGACGATCATTGCGAGTTAGAGACCAGCCTGGGCTACAAAGTGAGTTCAAGGCCCGCCTGAACTGCATAGAGACCCTGTCTCAAAAAGATGGCAAAACAGAAAGAAAGAAAGAAAAGAAGAGAAGAGGAGAAGAGAAGAGAAGAGAAAAGGCAGCTGGCAGGGAGCAGTGGCTGGAGCCCTGCGAAGGGAAGGGGCCCATGGCGGGGACAGGGTCGCAGGAGGAACACAGAGGGGTCATGGATGGCCACTGTGTCCACGCCACAGAGCTGGTCACCATGCATCCCAAATGCACACTAATAAAAGAAATTTCGGGCTAAGAAGTCTTCTTCTGTGGCTTTTCAGACAGATATTCTCCCAGCAGGGCTGAGAAAATTGGACCTGCTTTCCCAGAGCGAAAACCAAGCATTGTTCTGCTCTTAGCCACCTCAAGAGGTCCTCGCTCGAGCAAAAATCATTGTCTTGTTTTGTTTTTGAGACAGGGTTTTGCTATGTGGCCCAAGCTGGCCTCACAGGTGATCTTCCTGCCTCAGCCTCCCGAGTGCTGGGATGACAGACATGTGCCCCACTGCACCAGCCCCCAAACCCCTTCAAGTCTCTGACCGCCTCAGAAGAAAACACTGTGTCCGCTTTTGATGAGCCACAGGTGAAGCCACAGTTCTTCCTGTCCTTTGTTCCACGGTGGCCGCTGACCGGCGAGGACCCTGGAGCTGCTCAGTGCTGAGCGCCTGATGGGTCCAGGCAGCTCCTGAGCCCTGGCTCAGTCCTGCGGGAGACCAGCCCTGCCTTGGACATCTGGTTGTGGCTTGGGGTCTCATGGGTGGGGGAGGTGGCATTTTGGCCCCCACCCCTGCCAGTCCCCTCCCTGTCTGTCCCCTCCCGGGCCTGATCCCTGCTTCTGCTGCAGGCCAGGGAAGGAAAGGAAGAGGACTGTGAGCTCTGTGGACTCGGGAAGGCCCTGAGGCCCCAATCCTGCCTGGGTCCCCATCACTGGGTGACAGGGACGTCTCAGGGCCGGCGGAAGTGCGCACTTCTGGGCTGGTACCAAACACCCAGATGGCCAGTGAGCCCATGGACACCCAGCCCTGCTTGGCCCCCACGAGGTGTCCACATTGCCTGCTCTGCCCCGCATCGATCGCTGATGGACATGTCTCTGGTGACCCTGCGCTTGTGGCGGGGTATTTTTTCTTTTAATTTTCTGTATCAGCTTTCATTAAGCCAAGGTGTGCCCGGCCCTGTCCAGTGATATCCAGAGCAGGGAAAAACATCTGCATAAATTATTGATTAATTAATCTTGGTTCAAACTAATCTATCAGTGACTGTCTGGCTGGGGCACCGAGAGAGCCCTCAGAGGCGTCGGTGCAAACGGTCACTGAAAGCTCATCTTAAAGTCCTGTAACTCCTGCAAAGGCCCTCAGCAGCTGGGGGCGCTGTGTGGTCCATCAGTTCCCTGATTTGGTGGACAGTTCAAGGCCAGGTAGGAAAGGTGACAGGGACACACACATTGGACCTGCAGACACAGGACAAGGCTGATACGGGATCCTTTTTTTGAGACAGGGTCTAACTGTACAGCCCAGGCTGGCCTTGGACTCACAGCGATCCTCCTGCCTCAGCCTCCTGAGTGCTGGGGTGACAGGTGGGCACCACCATGCCCAGTGACGCAGGCTTTTGTGGAGAAGTAGATGCCTCTAATCACTTGCGTCTCCCTGCAGAGGCCTCAGGCTTAAGGGAATCAATGGAAGCAGACACAGGAAGTGCTTTATGCCGGGAAATTTGAAAATTAAGTTGAATCTGAAAATGCAGTGGACAGGACTAAGAATTTTACAAGCACAACCCACCAAAACTGTCACAAGGGAAAAAACAAAAAGGAAACTGAGTCCAAGGAAATTTTGGGACCGTATGGCTTCTCTGGAGAATTCTGTCAGGCATCCAAGGGAGAAATACCTCAGGCTCACACCTCCTCCCGGAGCTTGTGAGGAGAAGGGGCCGTGCCTACGTCAGCACAGGGCTGGCGTTCCTGATGGCATCATCACAGCAGGGACATCCGAGTTCATTACTGTCACGGCAGTAGACATAAAAGTCCTTAGCAAAATACCAGCAACTCAAATAGAGCGCTGTGGCAGCCGGTGGGGCTGGTTTTGGGAATGCAAGGTTGGCTTAACATCCAACCCCCGCTGACAGGGAGAAAACCACCTGATCCTCACCAAGGCTGCGGGAAGTGTGCTTGGAAACTCACACCATTCATGGGAGACAATGTTCTTAGAAAACCAAAAAAGTGCCTGTTGACATAGCTCAGTGGGAGAGCATTTTCCTAGCAAGTCCAGGTCCTGAGTTTGATCCCCAGCATCAAAAAAAAAAAAAAAAAAAAAAAAAGCAAAAGCAAAAACAAAAACAAAACAAAACATGCAAAAGGAATGTGTATAGGCTGGGCATGCTGGTGCAGCACTCAGGAGGATCACTGCAAGTTTGAGACCAGCCTGGGCTACAAAGTGAGCCCAAGGCCAGCCTGAACAGGATAGCGAGACCCTGTCTCAAAAAGACAGGGAAAAAATAAAGAGAAAGAAAATGAAAAAGAAAAAGGTCTGCGGGGGAGCTCGGGGGCAGACTACTTGCCTCGCCTGTGTGAGGATCTTGGTTTTATACTTAGCGCCACAAGAAAGAACACACAGACACCCAGAAATATGAGGCTTCCTTGATTTGATAAGCAACTAAAAATTGACTAAAAATTTATAGCAAGCAGCATATTTAATAGAAAATTAAAGAAAAGTCTTCCCGCTGGAAGCCTGGTAGTGACTCAAGGGTCACTGTGACCAGGGCTCCCAACTCCAGCATTTCTGGTGGACACAAATCACAGAAGAAGAAAGAGCTGGGAGGGAACAAGAAAGCACCATCACTGTGGGCTGGTAACGGGGCGCTCTGGAGAGCCAGCGGCCCTGCGGGCACCAGGGCGAGGTGGGCGGTCAGCGCAGATTCCCGCCCAAGTGCAAAGGCAGGAACGGGAGGGAAGGCGACACTGGCCACACGGCTAAGACAGCTGCCGCCTAGGACCCGTTTATTGAAGACGTGCAAGCCCTGTCTCACCATGTGCAGTGGCGCATGCTCGGTGCCCCAGCAGTCGGGGAGGCTGAGGCAGGAGGGTGGTAAGTTTCAGTCCAGCCGGGCAATTTATCGACTTATCAAGAGCCTGTCTCGATGAATGAATGAATGAATAAGAGAAAAAGGGCTGGGGGCGTAGCTCTGTGCAAAGGCCCTGGGTTCAGTTCCTACTACCCCTCTACAGACTTGAGTTAGTCAGGGCTTTCAGAGAGGAAGAGAACCAACAGAACACACACACACACACACACACACACACACACACCCCAACATAAATCATATACAAAATTTGTTTTTCTTTTTTGAGACAGGGTCTCACTATGTTCAGGCTGAACGTCAACTCACAGTGACCCTCCTGCTTCAGTCTCCTGAATACTGGATTACAAGTCTGTGCCATCACGCAGGCATCACTGTGTCTTAAGTCCATAGTGAACGGATTGGTACTGTACCCATCCAGTGCCCCATCTGGAGACAGATACAATGGTATTGTCGGGAGAAGGGTCCACAGCGCTCCGAGCTGGTTCTCTAAGTTCCTGTGATTCTATCAGCTCCGAACAGAAGGCCTTTAAAAAGCCCGTGTCCCCGTGTCTCGTGACCCCACTTCTGTGATCCTAGCTCATGGAAAAGTTAGACATGGTCTCTAGCCCTTGGCGATTCAGGAACTCTAGGAGGGGGGCGGTGACCAGGCTTCTGGGGGCTGCAGAGGGAGGAGTCTAGGGGCCATGGGGAGCCCTCTGGGGCACCCAGTGGGTTAGCAGTTAAAACCCAGGGCTGGGCTGGGTGTGGTGGCTCACACCTGTGATCCCGGCACCTGGGAGGCTGAGGCAGGAGGAGCACAAGTGTGAGCCCAGCCTGGGCAATTTGGTGATTTAGTGAGTCCTTGTCTCATCACACAACGTCAGGAGGATGGGAAGTGGCTCAGGGCAAAAGCCCGGGTCAGTCCCTGGAAAGCAAGGCAAACAGTAACAGTAGGACGGGCAGTGGGAGGACGGGGAGAGGGGAGGCTGAGTGTCCCTGGGGTCACACGGGTCACAGGCTGGGTCCCCGGTCCTGTCTGCACCCTCTGGCTTGGCTGGCAGGGCTTCGTCTGCCCACCCCAGTGCTCTCCACACTTCAGATGGGGGGACCCCAGTCCTGCCACCCCCCCCCCCCAATCTATCCCCAGCCTGCAATCCTCTTGCTGCACTGAGGGCTGCACTCTCCCTCTTGGCTGGGCCACCTCTGCAGGTCTGGCAGCCTTAGTCTCCTTGTCTGCTGAATGGGTCAGCAGCAGCCTCGCATGCAGGCTAGGGATGAACAACACAGGCCTTGGTGGTGCCCGGGCCACAGCCTGGAGAACTGAAACTCCCCACCGTGTCCAAAGCCAGCTCCCAGGAGCCCCCAGGTCCAGGGCACCTTGCTTCCCTCAGACAGACACTGCCTCTTCAGCCCGGAGACAGTGAGTAGTGCTGGGGGGGTGGGCAACATGGACTGCAGTGGCAACAACCAAGACAACAGGCTCTGCCCCGCACACCTGCAGAGCCACACAGGGAGAGAGGCCTGAGGGTCAGGCTGCCTCCCAGCCACACTTGTTTGCCTCTGCTGGTGGGGAACTCACTACCCTGCATGGCCGATCCAGCATCTCCCCAGGCTGCTGGCCAGGGCCGTGCTGGCTCTGCCCGTAGGTGGCCCGGCTGAAGCCGATAGCTTGTGTGGCAAGGGGAGCGTGTGGGGGGCTGTAGTCTGGAGTGGCTGGAAAGAAGCCGGCACCCCAGGAGAGAGCAGCTGTGTTCTGGGCAATCCTCCTGCTTCAGCCTCCCGAGTGCTGGGATCACAGGTGTGCCCAGCTTTTTGTTGTTACTCCTCAGCTGAAGGACCAGGAGGGGAACTGGACACTGTGAGAAAATGAACCTGGAAACACAGTAGGCAAACTGGGCATCTGTCACCAGAGCCCAGGCACCTGACCCCAGATGGCTGAGCCCCACATAGCCCAGGAGCTGGGGGTGGAGAGTGACACCCTTCAAGGAGGGGCACGGAAGGTGGCATCGGCTCCTTTCTGAGCTCAGTTGGGTAACAGCCACCTTGCACTCCCCATGTGTGTGGGCACAGGTCCTGGCCAGGTTGCCCTGGATGCCCCAGCACTCAGTGGGCTGCAGGCCAGGAGGCGGTGCCGGGTGCCAGGCGGGTGCTGTCTCAGGAGAGCACTTTGGTGGAGGTGAAGGGCAGAGCTTAGCCGGTTCTGGTTCTGGGGACCTCGGAGCGGGCAGGCAGGTTCCCAGGAGCAGCTGCCCAGTGCATGCACTGCTGCCAGTGCCACCAATGGGGACCCAGGGTGGAGTTGCCGCCTCAGCTGGGCACCACTGGCTGCTGTGCTCTGTGCAGCTTCCTGTCCAGGAGACCAGCGGGGCAGGAGCTTGGGGTGCCCTCTGCAGAACTGGGCCCAACCTGGCTTCAACCTCATCCTAGAGCTGTTGCCCAGTGGCCTGGGGCTCCAGGGCCACCACCTGGCTCCACGGTGCACTGGGGACAGGGTCTGAGTCCCCGTGACTGGTGCTAATTTCCCTTCCTGCCCACCCTTACAAGGGCAAAGGCCCTAAAGGGAGTCTTCTGGGTGGTGCTCAGTGTGGCCGGGCTTCGAGGAGCCCTGGAAGCCCAGAACAGATCCATGTGTCACAGGATGGTGCCAAGGAGGAAGCCATGGAGGCTAGTGAGGTCACCGGGGCCCCTGACCCCATAGATGGGACACTCGAGGTTCGCTGCTGAGCTGTGGACCAATTGTCACGCAGCCATAGAACCCATACTGGGTGTGGTGTGACACTGATCCCAGAAAGAAGGGAACATCTGGCCCGGCAAGAGGCCCACACCTGTAATCCAAGCACTCAGGAGGCTGAGGCAGGAGGGGCGCCGGGAGTTTGAGGCCGGCCTGGACTGTGTAGCAAGACCCTGTCTCGCAATCCAAAAATACAAAATAAACCTCTTCACACATTCCACTGAAAGCCAAGCCTGGGAAAGCGGACTAGCCAGCTGCTGGCTGGGCAGCTCCTGCTTCGGTGTCCTGCCGCTGGATCCATGGGGAGGGAGGGCAGGGGGGGCGAGGGTGGTGGGGTTGTGGGTTGCAGCAGAGGGAGTAGAGGAGATACGGGTTTAAAATTACAGCTGGCTGCTGCAATCTGATGGCTTAATCAGCCGATCGATCTGCGCCGGGCAGGAGGGGCTGCAGCGGGTGAGTGCAGTACAAACACAGGAGCATGAGGCGGCCGGGAAAGTCAGTGGGCAGCTCCGTTTGCCCAGCCCTGGCCAGGAAGTGGAACTGGCAGCAATCACGTAGCAACCACGCAGCCACGTTCTCGCCACGAGGCAGAGATGTGTTCAGAAATTGTCCCTGGCAGTGGGAGGTGGATTCCTTAACTGGCCTGCACACAGCAGCGGGCACCACGGCACTAGAGAGGCCACGGGTCGGGGTGTAACAGCTTGGGTGTGGGCAGAGAGATCAAGTGGGAGGGAGCCCCGGCACGGCTGGGGTTTGGGTGTGAATGGAACTCACAAGCCCTTGATTCATTCTCTGCTCGGTGTGAGAAAGAAAACAGAAAACAAGCTCAGACTGCGGGTTGCTTTAACAGGCTGACGTGGCTGGCATCCTCAGGTCAACCAGGATCAGATCCGCTGGGAGCGACCCAGATCCCAGAACAACGGTGGCACTGCCAACATGATCTGGGTCTCTTATGTAGCAGGGCGGGTGCCAGGCGCCAAAGCCGTCAGAGACCAGCCCTTCCTGTCTTGCTGCTTCGTCATACTCTGCAAATGGCTCTTACCTCGAGGTCCAGGATGGCTGCATGAGCACCAGCCCTCATGTCCACACTTTGAAAACAAGTGAGCGGCAGAAAAGACCTCCCTCCCCTACTACCTAATAGGACACCTCCCAGAAAACCTGACTGGCACCTCTGCAGTGGCCCTGCCTTGTACAGAGCAGGGTGGGAAGTCTTCAGGTACAGAGCCAAGGGAGGAAGGATTCCTGGAAGGAAGCGGTGACTCTCACCCTTCAGGCCAGCGCTCGGGATCGGGGAGTGGGTTGGACGGTGAGGGCAGAATGGTCAAAGTGTGCAGCGCTCACAGTCTTGCAAATGTGGTGTTTTAGTCACACGCGGGCAGTGTAAAGACAGCAAACTTTCTCCAGAGAGAAGACAGAATGGTCACCTCCACGTGGGCGGCCTGACGCGGCCTGCAGGGCTGCCTGGACCTCGTAACCAGGAATCCTGGGCTTTTCCAAAAGGAAGAAAAAGGAAGGGGCAGCATTCAGGAGGCTGAGGCAGGAGGGTACCCCCATTCCCAGCCTTTCTGAGTGCAAAGAAATCTCAATTAAGTAGTCCCTGGGCAGAGGCCTGGTGACACGTCCGGGTCCCTTGCATGGCCTCTGGGTGAGCTCGGTCAAGCTGCCACCATTGCCCTGGGCCACCCTGTGTCACCTGACCCAGAAGGCAGCTTGGTACTCTTTGGGCCACCCCCTGCATGCTGTAGAGGACTGTGTCATCACTGGGCACTGAGGGAAGCGGGGTTTCCCTGCCTGGCCAGAAAGCAAGACTGAGGCCAGCGGGGCCGCCTCCCTGAGCGCAGGGGCAGGGCTGGCTTTCCAGTCTCTGAGTGCGGGTGGCTGAGGGGAGTGGGGAGCCCTGTTGTTGCCCAGCGGCCACCGCCCTCCTGGCCACCACTCCCAGGGCTGTGGCACAGGACGTGAGGCAGAATAGCTCTCCCAAGGCCCCTGCAGCCGTTCCTGGTCTCAGCCGTGGTGGAACGGGCCTGTAACCCTGGCGTCCTGGAGGCTGAGGCATGAGAATCCCAGGGAGAGTCCAGCCTGGGCAATTCAGTGACTCAGGGAGACCCTGCCTCAAACATAATCACAAGGTAGGGAGGCAGCTCCGTGTGATGCGCCTGGGTTCAACCCACAAAACTAAAACCAAGCCAAACCAAACAGCAAAACTAAAGATGGTGCCCATGTCTTGCCTCGTGCTCCACAGCAAAGAATATGTCCTGGCTGGGGATGTCTGTGCCTGCACAGCGCCCCTACCCAGCCCCGCACGCCCACCTCAGCTGAGTGACAGCGCAGCGCCTGTTGGCCTTCTGGTCTCAATGCCTCTGCCCGGCATTGCAGCCCCACCAACTGCTCTCCCAGGCGTTGAGGCTCAAGGTTCACTGCAGCTGTGCCTGGGGGAACCCGGGGTTCCTCCTCTGGCAGTGCTCAAGTTTGGGGCACACAGGCCCACGGCACACAGTGTCGGGTGCTCCGGCCGAGCACACAGGAGTGACAGACGGAGTCCCGGGCACTGCTCTGCTGCTGCCGCTGCCGCCGCTGCCAGGGCTGAGGCCGGGCAAGATGGTGTTGTGCTGCCGTCTGTTTCCAGATTGTGCAGGTCACAGTGGGCCAAGGCTGCAGGCAGAAGGACACCACACCTGGCTTCGGCTGCAGTGCGACCCGCAGCCCTCCGCATGCTCTCCCTGCCCGCGCTGCGCATCAGCCCCCCACACCTCGCCGGGATGAGTCCCCAACCCTGGCTGTTGGCAAAGTAACGGGAAGAAAGAGGGAAAGAGCATACTACCCACGGCCTTCTGGCTGCCAGCAGGCTGCCCCACTGCTCTCTGCAAAGGAAAGGCCAGCTGCTGTTAGCTTTGGAGCATCGAGTACAAAACCAAATATCAAACAGCTGTGGCCCAAAGGGGTCGCCTTCCAATTGAGGTGCAGGAGGTGGCAGGTTTGTAGAAAACCAGAGAGGACACAGGACAGGGGACACTTGCACTTTCTAGGGACTTCTTTGCAGTGCTGGGGGTGCAGCCAGGACCCCATACGTGCTCAGTGAATGCTGACCACCAGGCTGCCCTGGCCGTGGGCAGAGATGTGTGGACAGTGTCTGGGGACACACAGTGTCTGGGACACCACTGGCTCCGGGTCCCTTCCTTGGGATCCGCTCCTCCAGGGCAGCACGGAGACATGGATGGATGTGGCAAAGGCCTCTTGGACTCGGGATGGGCCGTGGATGTCATCACCACAGCAGCTACGTTCCTGCCTCAGCAGGATGTCACTGCATAGGGCATGGCATCCTCTGCTTCTGATACCCGTGCCATCTCCAGGCACCCACATCTGTGCACTGTATGTGTGCCACACATGCTAGGTGTATACAGATCCAGTGTGGTCACCTGTGGGGCTCACTGGCTGAATCCCATTCACAGCGATCAGGACCCAGGCCACCGGTCCAGAGGCAGAGTGGACACCTGGCTTTATTGAGCACTTACTACACGTGAGGGCACATAGCAGTGCCCACGATGGACATGGCCCCACCCTCAGCACTGACACATGGGGGGTGACAGTGACAGGCTGCGGGCAGGGTGTAGGTCCATGGTCCACTCTGCAAATCTCTTTACAGCTGCGTTTCCCAGGAGCCCCTGCAGCCAGGGGCTAAGCTTCCACCAAGTGCAGGAGGGTCACCTGTGCCGGGGCTGGCATGGACTCAGGACACTGAGTGCGGTCTCCGGGAAGGTGGTCCCCCAGCCTTGGCCACGCAAGCCCATCTCGAGCCAAGGTGAGTATGGCTCATCATCTACACCACCGCACCCTGCGGCCCTGTGCTGCACCCTGTACCCTGTGCTGTGGCAGCCTGGCCTCTGCTCCGTGGAGCCAGGGGCCTCTCACGGGACACAGCATTTTCCTGCGAATGCCGCTCACAGCCGCAGAAGACGCCGAGGCATGGACGCCAAGCGCTCCGTGATTATTCCAGCTGGTGGGAGTCAGGGGTGCGATCATCCGCATTACCTCATCTCCACAGAAGGAACAGATGGGTGCCTGCAGCAAGAAGCCAGGACGAGATGACAACCTCGCAGTCCTCAGCAGGGGCGGCCAGCCCGCAGGCTGGGGGGAGGGGGATGGCTCCCAGCTCCCCACCTCTTCCTCTCCCTGCCTGGTCCCCACCATGCCACTCATGTCCCTGCTTCCTGTCCAGAGAAACAGGATATGTTTGAGGCCTGCTGCTTGCAGGACCTGCCCAGCCTCTGCGCACCAAGACAGAGCAAAAGCTGCCCTGAGGACAGGCACGCTCTGGCTGGGACTTCAAGCCAGGATCAGCCGACAGGCTGGGGACGTCCCTGAGCAGTTATACGGATCACCTCCGGCCATCACGCACCCCTGAATTTTCGGGCTGAGTGGTTTAAGTGTTGATTTAAAATGTGGCTGGAGAGTGGCCCCCGGCCCTGCCTGCTCATCTTGGGCTGGGGTGGGGACCAGGGGGAGTTGCCTGTCCTGCCAGCTGCCTCCCTCTGACCTCTGAGTGTGCCCCACGTGCAGCCAGCCTGGCTGCCCCTGCTCCATCCAGCCCATGGCTGTGGGTCAAGTGTGGAGCAGGATGGTGCCTGGGGCCGCTCCACTGTGACCGCAGGGTCTCGAGGCTGGGCACGTGGTTGAGAAGGGCCAGGCATCCTTTCCTGTCCTCTGCTGGACCCGACAGCTGGACGGTGCCTCCTGTCAGGCGCTTGGGGCTCACAACAGTCCTGGCGGCTGACGCCGACTTTTTTCTCTGGCTGAGGTGACCTTAAAAGCTGCTTGATTTAGCATCAGGCCCACTCTGACACCTAAATGCAATGGCGAGCTGGCACATTAACACCCGAAGATCACCGCTCTGGGCGTCCATCCGCGGCGTGAAATGTGGAAGCCTCACTCGGTATGAAAGGCCACTTCCCGAATTAGTCCGGATGAAGGGGGCTGACAAGTTGTCCCAGGCCTGCTCGCTCCATGCTGTGAGCCCCTGGTGGGTGCCTGCAGGTTTGAGGTGCCCAGCCAGTAGACAGTGTCATGGCCCACATGGAAGGGTCTTGAGCCCGCTGCTGAGGGATGGAGTCCTGGTGTCCACTTCAGGTCAGCCCCGTCCCTCTGTATCTGAGCCAGAAAGGCCCTAAAGACCCACGGTGCCACCCTTGTGTTGTATCCCCTTTAAAACAAAGGGTCATCATGACGGCTCTCAGCCAATCTCACGCACGAAGCAGCCGCGGTCCTCCATCGCCCCTCACCCTGCCCAAGGGGTGTGGAGTGGCCGCTCTGCTGAGCTCCTCCCCAGGGCAGTGCTGGAAGGAGGAAGCAGACCAGGCCTGAGTGGGCCCCCTCACCCGGGTGCCCGGCCCTGCAGCTGTGCTGCTGCCCAGTTGGCGCTTCCCTCTAGCGGCCACTCTTCCCTGAGTCAGTCATTCAACACCTGCACTGTCCCTGTGGATGGGAAACTTTCCTCTGCTGCCGGCAGAGCTCGGGAAAACCAAAGCCACGGCCAGGACAGCCCGTGCAGGAAGTGAGGTGCGAGCTCCTTGTGTGCACGGAGGCCGGGAGGTCTAGTCTCAGGCTGTGTGTGCAGGCGGGGAGCAGCCAAAACTCAGTGGTCTCCTCCTCGGGAGCCACTGTCGCCCTTCTTCACCCATCTGCGGTGCTGCTTCACAGCCCAGCGCCTCTGAGGACACTACCGCTCTGCACATGCTCTGACGTCACCCTCTACAGCCGCCCGTCACAGCGCTGTCTCCAAGGTGAGCAGCGCGACCCCAGGGACCCAGAGACCACAGCGAGGGGTACAGTCAGGGGAGCCACAGTGGGGTCTGCTGGGGCTGAGCAGGAGACTGTGGCAGAGCAGGGAGCCGCAGGGTATTACCGAGATGCTGGCATGGCAGACCAGGGTCTGAGGCTCAGCTGAGGCTGGGCTGGGCACACTGAGGCCTGTGTGTCCAAGCCACACAGTGGCTGGACTGGGCGCACCAAGGCCTGTGTGTCCAAGCCCCACAGTGGCAGTGCTGTGGCCCTCGTCATTAGGGCCGATGTCCATGCTCTTGGGACACAGCTGTGGCTCTGCTGGCAGGTGTCGGGCACAGTGGGAACCAGGCAGGTCCAGTTGGAAAGGCCAGGGTGGGATAAGGGGCCCGACGGTTCAGCAGAGACGTGGCGCACTTTGTCCTTGGTTTCTGGAGCCGCTGAGCTCCGGGAAGGGATGCCATGGCCAGCTCGGCTCCGTGAGGACAGCGGATCGCATTTGTAGAGCGGCTCACTGCCCACAGTAGAAGGTAAGAATGGTGAGAGGGGAGTGGGCCTTGTGCCGGGTACGCAAGATTTATTGTTTCTAGAAATAAGTTACAAAACCAGAACAGAAGAGCACTGGCACAACATACAGGAGCGTGGAGCACATGCAGGTGACAGCTGTGAAAATGGTTTTGATGGGGACACAGAATGGCTATCTGGCGTCCGGGCTCACAGCAGGGGCAGCACCTGTGGCTGACGTGTGACAGTCCCCTTGTCTGGAGAGGGAGCAGCGGGCACAGAGGGGGGAGGGAGGGTCGGGGCCTGGCACTGGGGGAGGGGCAGGCTCACTGGCGGCAGGTGTCGTGGAAGGCCTCAAGGGTCCGGAAGTCCCTCCACGTGGGCGGAAGGCCGTCCTGTAGGAACTTCCCGCAGCGCTGGCAGGGGGCCTGGAAAAGCTTTATGTAGCTTCTCAACCAGGTCTAAAGAGAAGCGGAGAGAGAATGGGCCCGCTGCTTTGCACACTCCACCCTCAGGACCAGCGGGCCAGAGGACAGAGACCCCAGAAGAGGTCAGGGATCGTGCTGTAGCCCCAGGGGCTTCTCTCTGGTGTGCTCAGTCTCAGTCCCCTCCCGCTGCCCTGAGGGGCTCCATACAGAAGCTCCGTATAGCAGCTCAGGCTCCGCAGGTGCTGCCCTGCACGGAGCCCAGAGCCTCCTGACCACCCAGTGCACAATGAGCAGTGTGCCTGTGCACAACACAGTGCTTGGAGCACAGTGCTCTCCTGGCGCTGTCCACGAGGAGGCGGTGCACAGAGCTCGATTCTCTGGCTCTGGGAGGTTCGCTGTTAACTGCAGCCTGGGTGCCAAGCCCACAGGTGCAGCAGCGCACCCCGTGGAGAGATGCATGTGCACTGGCATGGCCGGGCCTCCAGATCATGCTGGTCAGACCGGCTGTCACCTGCAGAGCTGCTATGCCGACCCACGCAGGACCCCAGCATGGCCCTGGGGCCCTCCCTCGGTACTGGGTGTGGTGGCTCTCCCCTCCTCCCTGCACCATAAGGCCACAGTGGCCAAGTCGGTGTCTGGTTGCAGGCTCCCTCAGAAGCCTAGGTTGGGACCGTGTGACACGGTGTGCTGGGTGGTGTCCCCTGGCAGCCCTCCTGGCAGGGAGACAGGGAGTACAGGGCCCAGGACTGGAGAACAGGAGGCCACATCAGCACAGGCCTGGTGCTAACCCAGTGCTGGTGACACTGAAGGCCATTCCTGAGACCCGCTGCTTGCCCAGCAGTGCCAGAGACCCCTGCAGCAGGCTGGCATTGGCTTCTCCAGATCCCTTCCCAGGAGGAGGGCCCAGGAGGCCGTGGGACTCACCATGAAGGACCTGACCACCACATCTGGCATCTGTGGTAGCTGATAGTGCAGCAGGGCGGTGGTGGCGTGATCTGTCACCTGTGAACAAAGGACAGTGACTGGGTGAGCAGCCACAGGAAATGGGGCTAGACATTCTCCTTTACATGCGGCAGCTCTGCTTTCTGACGTCCCTCCGAGGAAGGACATCTAAAATAAAATCTCAATAGGAAAATGCGTTAGCAGAGCGAGCAGGAGGAGGGCGTGCAGAGAGGATGTGGGCCTGGGGGCGCATGGAGTGAGGGACGCTCAGCAGTCGATGCCACAGAGGGGGAGGCCGGTGGAGGCACAGACCAGGAGCATGGCAGCGGTGCTTCCCTGACCCTCCTACTGCCTCCTCCTGACGGGAACAACTTCTAGACAGATGGTGTCGCTGCTTCTCCTGCTCCCAGGGCCTGTGGATGGGCCTGTGGATGGGGTATGGGGGTTCAGCCCGGGGCTGTCTGGATCTTGACTTACGGCTGGTCCCCTGCGTTCAGGGCCTCTCTGCTGTGCTGAGATGCCCCGCTGTCCTGAGACGTGGTGACACCACGAAGTGTAAACGCTGCCATCAATCAGCAAATTAATAGATTCTGCTAATTTGATAGCTGTATCCAAACTGATGGTTTACTTGATTGTCCTCATTAGGAATTCCTGGCATTATGAATGTGGCAAAGAACAGGACAAAAACTGCAGATAAAATCACTCACTTTGAGAACAGGAAGAAGAGTAAACTCGCAGGCCGGATGTGCTGAGGCGCCAGGCAGTGGCCAGGCAGGCAGGGGCATGGCAGGCATGAGGACAGGCTCGCCAGCCCTGTGGGGTTGCCTTGGGTTCTCCCGGGAAGCACAGGACAAGGGGACCCTGCAGCCACACGGGGACAGGCAGGGAGGCCCTCACTCTGCTCTGGCCCTTTCCTGCCCTGCTGTGCCCAAAGCCTGGGGCTCCTGGGGGGGGGGGTGCTTTTGCGGAGAATGTTCTGGATCAAACTTGCTGGAGATGGAGAGGAACTTAAGAGGCCTGCGCAGCCTCCTTGGCTCCCGCACGGCTGCAGAGTTCTCACGTGGTGACTTTTAGGGAGATGGCGCTCCCCCCTCCCCCCTCCCGCCACATGCCAGGCTGCTCTTATTCTGGGCGCACTGACAGACGGCTTTGAGCAGTGCTCTTTGTTAACGAGAACTCTGGGAAAGGTTGGTGGTGACAGCCGGGGAAGAGCAGTTTGAAAAAGACTGGCCCAGTAGAGCAAACTGGATGGGGGACCTGACACCAGCCCGAGAGTCTGGGAGCAGAGTGGCACTGTGGGGAGGACGGGAAGCTCAAGGCCCTCCCGACCCAGCCATGCTTCCCCTGTGCTTTGTGCTGGTGGCCCAGGCCTGCTGCCCCGGTCCTGTGTGCGACTTCCTCCCAGCAGCCCGGGAGCCCCAGGACGGGGCACACAGCCACTCGAGGCCAGAGCTGGGCTGGGGCCTACTGACTCAGAGGCCATATCTGAGGCAGGGTGCTTTGCTTTTGTGTGTGTGTGGGGTTCCTTCTATCCCTTTCTTGGGGTTCCAGTACTTGATCGCAGGGTCTTCACACACGAGTGCATCCCCAGTGGTTTAATTTTAATTTTGAGAGGGTGTAGCTAAGTTACCAAATTGCCCAAGCTGGGCTTGAATTTTGTGATCCTCTTGCCTCGGTCTCCCAGAGGGCACCAATACCACTTAGATCTCTCCCCCTCCACTGTTTTTAACATGAATAACTGAGATTTAGAATTCAGGGAACTTCACAAACTTTCTCCTGCACAGGAGACCTGTGCAGCCTCCCTGGACCTGTCCTCTGCAGATGGTTGGGCCCTGGCTCTCTCCCTGCCTCTTCTGAATGAGCCACTCCCTCTCCTTGCTTCTGCCCCCTCCGTCCTGCCCACAGCCCCACGGCCACCCTTCCCTGCCAGGACGATCAGACCTCCAAGGGGACAAGGCTGGACCATGCCCCACCTTGTTGGAACCATTGAAGCTGAATCACACGCAGGGCTGTGGTGTGGCCTGATTGAACTGAGAACGAGATGCCTCAGGGGGCAAGAGAGGCCACAGCTGAGGCCACTGGAGACTTTCTGGGTAGTTTCCCTTAACTAGCATCATGTGCTGCTCTGAGGGGTCCCTGAACCCCTCCCAAGATCCTACTCAGGTTTCCTGTGTTTTCCACCCAACTCCTTGCTTGTTTTGAATAAATATGGGCTGCCCAGGGACAGTCAGTCGGGTGGCCATCAGTGATGAACTCTGCAGAGGACTTCAGTCCTCCTGGAGCCCTAAAGACCATGCTGCTTATCTCAGTCTTGGGGGCTTTCACCACGCACTCGTTTGCAGGATTGGGGATCTGGGCACAGACCCCAACACCATTCCTCAGGCAGCTCCCTGCATCCTCTGCAGTGCTTTCCCATCTGGGAAGAAGGTCACAGAGGGCACACTCTGGATGCCTGTGAGAGCACAAGAATCAAGGTGGTGATGCGCAGGCTGGGGCTCTGAGCAGCAAGGTGGGTCCTGCTGTGGAGAAGGGCCCAGGAAGTAGGCGTTTGGTCCCGGGGCACCTCAGGAGTCTAAGTGAAGGTGGTCTGCCTTCAGCAATGTGAAATGAATGGGGTCATCCGAATTTTACAAGAGGTCATGGGGTGAAAGGGAAAAACTGAACCGCAGGATGGTGGGGCTCTCTTACCTTTAAAGGCGTTTCTAGGTTCACAAGCTGTTTACCAACTACAGCATCACCCAGGCCCTCCGTGCCCCTCACCCGATCCCCAGGGGGCCCAAGGTGGGTGCTGGCCTTACTTCCACCTTACAGGGCGGGCATGGATCTAAGCAGAGGCATGAGGCTGGGGCGGGCACCCCTTGGCGCCCTCCCAGTGTGGGATGGCAACAGCACCTATGCCTCTCTTGGCATGGCCAGCTCCGAGAAGCCAGAGTGGCAGGCAGACCGAAGGTCAGGTCTGTACTGGCAGCTGCTGGGCTGTATCCACCCGGGAAAGCAGCTGTGCGACCCAGACCCTCCCCTTGTACCCTGCCATCACAAGCAGGCTGTCTCACAATTGATTCTCGGGGGGGGGGGGGCAGCTAGTCTTTCTTGGGCGGCCAGTCATGTGGCCAAACCCAGCCTCCTTTCGCAAAGGCCTGGGGCCAATGTTCCCTTCCCCAGAAACCGTGGGGCTTCTTCCCCTTTCCTGCTCCTGATGGCATTGTCTAGCTTCTCCAACCCCATCCTATGACAGGAGGAAACAGCCGGCTGACTTGCTTTGGGGGTCCCTTCTATCTCCCCAACTCTGCTGCTATTGGTCTTCAGATTCCCACGGCTCAGCCCCAAGCGCTGGGAAGATTCACCTGCTATGTAATCTTTCTTCTCAAAGCTTCCAACTCAATGTTTTTGTTTTACACCTTTAAACAACAAAGCTGTTTTTTGTTCCACATGGAAGACGTGGGAAAAGCAGGCCTGGGGCAAAAAACATTTCTGTGAAGTAACTTAGCTGCAGCTGCGGGTGGCTTCCCGACATGCATCTGTGGGGAGATGGAAGCTGGAGGTGCTGATGCTCCGAGTGGGCGGGAACACTTGGGGCGGGGCGGAGACAAAGCAAAGATCCAAGTGGAGGGGGCCCAGCACAGGAGGAGGAGACTCAAAGGTGACAGGTAAGGGGCAGGCAGGGGAGACACATGGGAGGGCCCTGGCCAGGGAGGGGCTCAGGGCACCACAGGGCCCAGCCCCTGGGGCGGCCCCCCTGCTGGTTGACACCTCCCACTCTCGCTCTTCCACTCAGTAGAGGGTCTCTTTGAAGAGACCTTGGACCAGCTGCCAGCGTCAGCTGGGGAGGGAGCTGCCAGCCCCAACAGTCTCCCCAAGTTCCTCTGCTGTATCGTGTGCCAGGAGCACAGACAGCCCGGCTGCTGAGTTGGGGGACCTGGCTATTTTAGGTGAACCTGGGCGGGGAAGGGACAACTGGGACAGCTTGCCTCGCTCGACCCCCACGATGGCCTGCCACGGAGGGACTGTCATGAAGCCACCCGGAGGTCAGGTGGCTGCCAGGCCAGGAGTAGGGGTCTGTCCCTGCCTCTGGATCCCTGCTGGAGTGCCCGGGCAGGGGCTGGGGGGCACATCTGGGCCATTCCTCCAAGGGGAGGGGACCCACACCTCCTTCCTGGCAGCCTGTCTCCCCACCTGGACCAGGGTTCCCTGCTTCCTGCTGCCTCGACCCTTGTGCATGGACGCCAGCCAGCTGGGTCTGTGGGATGCCCAGGGCTGCAGATCAGGGAGCCTATGCAGGCGCTGTCACCCAGACGCAGGCTCAGGTCCAGCCAGACTGCTTCCTGCTCAGTCACCGGGGGCCAGGTCCTGTGATGCTCAGAGCCTGCAGGGAGATACACGGCCGGGCCAGCCAGGGCCAGCAGGCGCCACCATCTGCAGCAGGCTCTGCCTTCTGCTTCGGGCTTGCCGGGTGCTCTCTCCCCACTTTCCTCCTCTATCTACCTGGGAACTTTGATTTGATTTAGAGGAAACTACACTAACTCTTGCCAGGGTTTCTTCAGCAGCAGCCTCCAAGGTCCAAGGATTGCACCATCCTGACGACTGTGGGGACACTACTCTCGGCCTCTGGGCAGCCACAGGCCCAGGCACCTGTGGGTCACTGTGGCTTCCTGCCACCAGAGGGCAGGACAGAGAATGAGAGGAGCCACCCCCAAGCTCTTGGAGGGCTGGTATCCAGCTCTGTGACCCGAAGCACACACCCTGAAGCCTGCCTCTGGGGGCCAGCATGGCTGGGGGTTAATAAATAGGCAAGTCAGGCATCCAAGGGCTCAGAAGCTTCTCACTGAGAAAAGTGGCCTGGTAGAGACCTGGCTTCTGGCTTCCCTCCAGCCAATGCTTGCTTGTGGGGCAAGAGTAGACTCTAGGACCTGTGGGGTGGAGGGAGCCATTAGGACAAGCTCTGCCCTTTGCTCGGTTACAAAGCAGAGTGGATCCTGGGGTAACCAAGGTGCCCACCTGCTGCCCCACCATGAGCTGACTTCATGAGGCTCTCAGAGCTTGGGGAGCTGAGCTGAGGTGTG